ATAGAAGTAAACCTAGAATCCATACCAGCATCACCACTCTGCTGGATTCACCTTCTCCATTTTAATAGAAACAGAATGTGAATACATTGCCTCTCTTCATGATTTCTTGTATAACTGAATAACTGCTGTGTAACTTTAGTTGAAGATGCACCTGCAGACCCCTGGGACTCTGGGTAAACAATGATGTGGAACTTGGTTAAAATAGTTTTATGCTACAGTTTTGCAGTTTCTGTTGGGGTTCCACAGTTTGCATATGTGGGTTTGTCAAACCCAGGAGAAGGCTTATTCAGGTTCCTGAAACCAGGGTATGTTTACATACACAAAACGCAGATGTACATTAGCTACAGTAGCCCTTTTAATTTGTATATGTGTATGTGTGTACATTTTTGTCTTTGTTATTTTTACTTGTGGTTTTGGTTTTTATTCAGTTTTTGCATAGTTGTGCGCATCGGGTGCCATTGGGCATTCCTTGTATTTTTGATAATACTTGGCAATAAAATTTATGCTTATGCACAACTGGGGTGCAAGTAGGTATGTAAAGACACCTAGTGTTTCCCACTTCAGTAGAGCTATCAGCTATTTCAATGCTGTGGTCAGTGATAAGAATTATGCACTTCAGCCATGTTTGTGCACATTTGCAAAGCTCCTCTCAGAGTAGGCCATCCTTGTTAAATGGAGACAGACGTGTTTGTGCAGTCACTGCTTGAGCTTTATTAATTAGCAGCTTTTAATCACTGCAGATTTCTACTTGTCAACACTAAAATCATTTATGGCTTCACTTTTCATACAATGCCGATGAGTTGTTGACAGCCGGGGTGTGATAGTTGCATGTCAGTGGTGCAGGCACGGACAAACTCGTGGCTTTGACCTCTTCACTTTATGTACACTTGACTGTGCTGTAGATTTAATTTTAGATGAACATTGATATTTTTCATATCATTTTACACTCAATAACTCATAATGAAGAAGTGAAAACATTTTTAGATTTTTTTTTTTTTTTTTGCAGATTATTTAAAAATCAAACACTTAATTGTCTTATATAAAGGTGTTCAGACACTTTGCTGTGGCACTCCACATCGTGACTCAGGCCTGACTGTTTGCTGTTCTTGTGATATACAGTATCATCTGTCACTGTACCAATTATTACATGTTGTTTTGACTGAAGAAGAAGTCATCTGATGTAAGATGCAAGTTGTTTATTGAATGCAGCTCTGTCTCAGGCTTGTGGGTGAGCGATGCCACCGGTGACCAGCTGTGACTGCCCCCACCTGGACTGTGTAGGGGAAATCACCAAGGAGGAACTGATTCAGAAATCCCATGTAAGTGAACCCCCCTCTTTACCCTGTCCACTGCTCTACCCACAATTTACCTCTCTTATAATAATGTTTTAATAGCTTCACCATGTTTGAATTCAAAGCCAAATGTTAGTTTTTGCTACTGTCTCATATATTTTCATCTTGACTCGACCTGAGACTCTAACCTAATTGTTTTATATTTTTCTAGGGACAGTGCCAAGACTGTAAAGTTGGAGGACCAAATTTGTGGGCGTGTTTGGAGGTAAGACGATGCTTGCCTTCAAAAAAATAAAAAGTTGATTGTATAGTTTGAAATACTACCTCTTGGCATTAACTCTTGCCTTGAATGTGTAATTTGTGTTTTAATAACACCTTTGTGTCTATACCCTGTGTTCGTTTTGCTCTAGAATGGCTGTTCTTATGTAGGCTGTGGAGAATCTCACGCTGACCACAGCACTGTCCACTCGCAGGTGAGAGCTCTCAGACCTTACTGATTTGTCTTTCAGCTGGGAAAAGATACGTAATGCATGGAAAAGAGAGAGAGGAAGGAATGTGACTGCAAGGGAAGAAGTCTTGACTGTGAATTGAAAATAGATGTACCCAAAAGAGTGGAGGTGTCAAATGAGGGACAGCTGGTTGTTCAGGTCAGGAATACCACTTCCTACTCTGGTGCCGCCCCTGCCAGAGTCAAAATGTGATGCTTGTCAGTGTTAATGAATGAAAAATTAAAAGCAATGTCAAATTATTGCCCTAAGTACACCTAACACTTTTCTGATGCTTTATATTTGATATTGGTCAAATTATATTTATTTTTTTATATCATGCATGCAGCATGATATTTGCATTCATTTATCTGATTGTGTTGTTGTGTGCATGATTTGTCTCTGGAGGCCTGGGGCACTGTGCAGCAGCAGTGTCCCCAGCTGGGAGTTAATAAGGAGCACAGCCAGAGCTTACACAAAGTAAACAATCTGATTCTTAATAATGTACAGTTTCTTATTTCATAGAACTAGGGGTTCTGTTTACTTTATACATCTATTCAAAATGAGCCACCCCTCTCTGAGTCTGTGCCCCAGCCTGTCTACCCCATCCAAAAAAATTTCTAGATCAGCCCCCGATCCCAGGAACCATGACCTGGAACAAAACTGCCTCTAGAGTGTTCTCTCCACGATCAAGAGCCTGCATATGCAGCTTTCAACTTTTGAAGTACACACATTGTTAAAAACCATCTAGCCAGCTCTGTCTGCCTACCTCTCCACATTTAGTGCAATTTCAGCAGTGGATCATCCATTATTAACTGTCATTCTTGTGGCAAGTGGGGGAGATTCACTAGTACTGTCACTTCCATGGTTATAGGGCCTGCCGCCCTGGGCTGCTTTGTAGCCACAGTGTTCTGAATGTTGACAAAGGCTTTTCTTCCAGCACCTTGGGGCCAAGTGGGGTTAGGAGGAGAGAAAGGAATACAAAAGCAAACATGTCATTTGCTCTGCCTATTAGTCTCTGCATAGCTGCTCAAACCACTTTCAAGAGGTTGTTAAAGTGCAAACCTCCTCAGAAGTACAGCTCTCAACCCAGATATGACGGATATCAGATACAGAGAGTGCTGATATAGAACTGTAATATTAGCAGACAGATTTTAAACAATATCACCAATCAGTTTGATTAGTTTCATTTATCTGGGACATCTGCCTCTGCAAACCTGGCACTTGTTGTGCTTTGTACATTCCTAAATGTAAGAATGGAGACCATGCTTATCTAGTGCTTTGAAAGCCCTGAGGGGAGGGAAACAATTTAATGTCTTGACTATGCAATGCAGAAAAACTGGTTTTGGATCAGATCAGATGCAGCAGTGTCCAGGAATGAGTTCCACTGCGATTCAACATGTGAACATACATATTATGAGTAAATAAGAGTGACTAGTGTGGCACTAAAAGTTACAGCTAGGGCAGCCAATCTCAGAAGTTTAACCAGCAGTGAATTTTAGAAGCCCTTCTTCAGATTGCAGATAAAGGATTATAAAGTTACCACAACCTAACAATGGCCCTCCTGCTGTTAGTGCTTCTCTTAAAATAACAGATTTGTTAAAGACGTGTTGAGCAGGTTTACATACATTCGTGAAAATCCACTGACAGAATCATCCTGAGAAGAACATTGGCCGTTGGTGTTTGTTGTCCTTATTTGATTTTGGTCAGTGATGTCTCGTCTGCTGAGGGCTAGAGGGGAGCAGTGGTCTGTTCTTATTTTGCAGACAAAAACCAGGCCCAACCTGCTTCTTTATCAGCTCACACACTGAAGCAGATGTTGAATCTGGGCTGGTGCTGCAATAACATAAATGTTTTGCAGTGTTTATTTTAGCCAAAAAATGAGGTGCTGACATGATCAGACAGGTTTTACTGAAGGTTCTTCTCTTGTTAAGTGTTATTCTGTGTGTGAGTATGTGTAGAAGTGGCACTAAGGATGTGCCCACATGATTATAATGTTTTTTGAGGTATACTGTTGAGCATTTCACATTGCACCTGAAATTAATTGCCATAAAGTATCATTAGAAAAGCTACAATATTGTTGATTGTAATGTGAAACATTATGTGGACACTCTTGAAACATCCTGTAAGACCCATAAATGCAGCCTGTTATTCATGCCCTACCTGGCATACTCCCCTTGATAAATAATTTAAATGGGGACGTTTTATTGCCATGCTCAGTCTGGAGTGTCCCCTCTGCCCTGCCAGGCCAAGGCGAACGCAGTCCTGATGAATAATGCAGAGTCTGCCTGTCAGATGAGCTCACGTTCAGCCTGCTGTCGACCTGCCAGGCTGCTGGTCTGTCACAGCAGCAGTGGGTCAGCAGAACAACTGCCATGTTTCCCTGCTGCCTCTGCTGTACCTCCATCTGTAACCCGAGACACTTACGGGAGCTTCACACTGATGACAGCGTATTTATGTTCACAGTTCAGAAATCTGTAAATTAAGATTGAATACTGGAGCTCCTTTTTTTTGAAAGAGAGAGGTTTATTTTGTTTACCCACAAGTAAACAAGTTAAAAACAGGAAGTGGGTGCTTATGTTGAATTTCAGCTTCTTGAGAAACTACTTTTTAAATAGAAAGTAAAAAAACCAAAACTGAGTTGGTTTCACTTAGCTAATAATCGGGGATTCTTTCATTACCTTGTAAAGCTGACTTATTATTTTACTGAGTAGTCAGTTGGCAGAAAATTAATTTTGTTTTGTTTTTTTTTTTGTTTTTCAAGCACAAGTTCCTACTTTTCACCTGTGATGTTTGCTGCTTTTATTTGCCGTGTATTATAATAAACAAAATCTTTGGGTTTTGGACTGCTGGTTAAACATTACAAACAAATTCTGATGGCATTTTTCACCACTGTCTGACATTGTGTACCATGTGGTCAGTTGAGAAAACTATTGGTAGATTGATAGTGATTATAAAGATTTAGTTGCACTGTTGTTGGAGGCAAATGTATCTAAAATCAGAGCTGTAATAGTTCTTGGATAAATATTAACATTTTCATCTTTTTGTTTTTGTTTTACTTTGTATATACAGTCTGTTTATATTTCTGTTCATCAAATGTTTATCTTTGTGTGCAGGAGACACGACACAACCTGACAGTGAACCTGACCACGCTCCGAGTGTGGTGCTACGCCTGCGGCAAGGAGGTTTTCCTGGAGCGTAAACTAGGTCCTCACTTGTCCCACGCCACCAGCACAGCTCTCCCATCTGTGGAGAAAGCTGGTCAGGTAAGAGCCAGACTCCCCTCTGTCTGTCGTCAGGCTTATCTTTATGTCTTAAAGCTACTGCTGTTTGATTTGCTGAATCATAAAACAGGTTTGATGATGAAAACCAAAATGCAAAACGTGATGTTGAATATAAGTTATATACATTATGATGCATGTCTGTGTTGTCTGAACGGGCTGGTTGATTGGCATGTTTACTGCATAATCACTTAGCTACATAACCATGTATTCTTCTGCTGTACTGACAGATGTTAAATTCCATCCTAAGTTACAGTTTGAACTGTAATTCAGATTGAATGGTCATTCAATTACTAGATAAGTGTTTCCTAATGAGGTCTGTGTGTGCTGTGCCATTGTTCCAGGATAACAGCAGGGCCCCTGGGAGCCCCACCTCTCTGAGAGTGCCCCCTAATGGAGCCTGTGAAGACCTGGACATGGAAACAGAGGAGGAGGATGATCTGCGTGCAAGAGGTCCGCTCACACAGATGAAGGATTCATCACAGCACAACATGATTGACACAAATAATTAGTTGATTGACGGAAGTTAATTCGGTCAAAATGATATCATACAAGCGATGTGACTCCTGATGCTGACAGAAATATGACAGCTACAATCATTTTGATACAGTCCTCTCACATATTACAATTACACTGGTAGGCACTCAACCAAAAAGCTACATCCGTCATTAGAGATAATATTGAATGTCTCTAATGAAGGCTATATAAATGTAGTTATACAAACTTTTAATTTTGTCAGAGCTGCTGCAGTAGACACATTGTTCTTGCCTGTGTTATCATTTTAATAATTAAAATCATATGCATTTGAAGTCAGTGAAGTGATAAAAATTTAATTAAATTTTATTACCTCTTAATTCAAGTATGAAAAAAATGAACTCAAACACAGAAGCTCAGTGATCAGCAATTGGTTTAGTTCAAAGCGAAGGTTATGATTGGAATTAATAGGAGCAGTAAATTTGTGTGTCATGGTGAGTGGTTTTAAAGACCCTGACACATAAAGAACACTTCATGGTACTAAGGCTGATGTAGAGCGACTGACGTGTTGCCTCACCCTGCCTCAAGACGTCTGCTAAAGCTTATACTTGAGCACATCACAATGACCACAGCAAACATGTAAAACATCATCACAAAGACATTCAGCTATTACTGATACAGCTTTGTCATGCAGCTGCTGATAATGGCTGACACCCCTGAGCTGGTCTCAGTCACTTCTGTGTAGCTCACTCTTATATTCAAAGTGCTTCAGTCTCATTGGAGCCACTGAAGCAAATAATGTTTCCACTCAGTGCTGTGAGACACACAGGCTCCACCAAATGGCATATGTTATGTTAAACCTTATGTGGTGGAGCTCAGGCTTTTGGCACCGCTCGCTGCTTTGGTTATTTTTGTCACAAATACAGATCATATGATCAACAGGCAGAATAATTAAGCTTCATAAGACCAATGTCTGCTGCAGAGTAGGTGCTCGTATAAGATGGGAGATTTCAAACCATCACGCCTCAAGTGATCGAGAATTGAAAACAGAAGGTTCAAGTGTTTTTCAAAATATCAAGATTCCATGGCAACGTTACAGTATACTTCCTGTTTACATCCACCAAAGCATGATGGCGGCTGTGGTTTGAAAACTTAGAGCATGATTATACCCCACAAAGAAGTAAGGAAAAAAAACAAGAGGAAAGAACATATAGTTGCAGTGACAAAATCTATTATCATACTATACTAGCTGATTTTAAATACAGCAGCTAGCCACTGTAAAATCTTAATTTAGAAGTGGAATGGGTGTTCTCAACAGTTTATAGGTTTTCTGGCTGCCATCAGAATTTACATGTTTGATGAGTGGCTTGTTTTAATTTCCCTGATGTGTTGTGTCTCCCCCCAGGCCTGACAGGGCTAAAGAACATCGGCAACACTTGCTACATGAACGCTGCCCTCCAGGCCCTGTCCAACTGGTGAGACCTTGCCCCCTGTTTACCTGCCTTCTACGTGCCTCACCTCTTTGACTCTGCCTTTTTGCTGCTTGGTTTTTTTTTCCCATCTTACTTCCCACTCAGTACTCACACTAAACACACTTCTTTCACTTCTTTTCAGTAGCCATTTGCTGTTGTATTCACTGCCTGCCTGCCTTCTTCTTGACTGTGAGAAACAGGCAGGGCTGTGCTCATTTGGGAGAGTGACGGCTGAGTGAAAAATGCTGCAGTGCACCATTTGAGAGGGCAGAAATGGCCATTTGTAGATCCCTGTAGGGTCTTGTTACTAATGAACACCGCCTCTTTCCCCATCTCGTCTGCCCCTTCTTCTCCTCCTTTCCTGCTCATTTTCCACTTTTTATGTCTTCTTTTACGGTTTCTTTCCCAGTCTGCCGCACTTTTTTTTATTGTTTATTGAATTGCCAATCCTTTTGATTCATTCTTTATGATTGTGATGTGATTGCTGGTGTGGTTACTAAAATTAGGTCTCTGCAGCAGAGCCCTAGTCTTTGTTATTACTTTTTAACTCCTACTTTATCTACCCCGGGGCTGGTACATTTTTTTTTATTAAACTGACGATGACTAGCCTGGGCACAATTCAAAATGAGGAACAAATGTGGGTCAGAATTTGCAATCTAAATCGCATCCCAAAAACAGGAGGAAGTGAGTTGCACAGCTGCAGAAGGAGGGAGCTTCTCTGCAACTTTCCTTTGATGTCTGTTTGTGTGAGTGCTGCTTCTTTCACTTTCTGTCAGGTCATTATTCAGTTTGAAGGACTTCTCTCTCCCCAAGGGAAGGGAACACTCCATGCCTTATTCATCCTGTAGTTTGTTTCTTTCTTGCAAATTCCCGTCCACTATATCCATCAAATAAAATCCCCTCAGATGTTTTTCTTTTCACCTGCTTTCTTGCATGAGCCAGTACCTTTGGGAACTTGTGATCTCACTCTTGTGAATTTAATGAGTCAAAATACAGGCAGAAGACTGCATTATGTAGAAATGCTGCACTAAAACCTCTGAGGATCTCCTTTGCTATTTATCATTTTCTGCTTTGTGTGACCTCTGTGAATATAATAGCAAAAACATACTAAACCTAAATGATTTGTAGATCATAAGGTATCAAAAACAGCCATTTTCAAACATAAGAGATTACAATAATATAATGTTATCTTGTACTGCTTTGAATTATATCTGGTTCTCCTCGACTCGCTGTGGAATGTATTGTACAGTATGTGGGGTTGTGCGAGCTCAGTGGAAGCTTTTTGGTAATAATAATCAAAGAATAACTCGTATGTTAATGGGCAGATACTCAGTAAAAGCTTGTTTGGTGCCTACATCTGATACACTTATTCCTCTTTTCACCGCAGTCCGCCTTTGACGCAGTTCTTTATTGAATGCGGTGGCCTGGTGAGGACGGACAAGAAGCCTGCTCTCTGCAAAAGCTACCAGAAACTAGTGTCAGACCTGTGGCACAAGAACAGGTAGGTGTTTTTCACAGTTGTTGTTTGGCTCTTCAGTTCTTAAAAGCATACGTGTTATCAGCAAGTTATAGTTGACTATAGAGTTTAATGGCCAGCCAAATGTGATGTTCAGAGAGTGATGGGGTCATATTAAAAGTGTTAAATATATAACATAGTGTTAAATTTTCACTCGACATCATGTGTCTCCTCACATTGCAGACCGTCCTATGTGGTCCCCACCAACTTGTTCCAGGGGATCAAAGCCATAAACCCTATGTTCAGAGGATATTCTCAGCAGGTGAGTCATTCCAGATGGTGAAATAAATATGCAATTTACTGTAAGTATACATATGCATATTTAGTATATGCATAAAACATGAGCACATTTGAGATGGTAGAAGACTCTTAACTGCTGTTTGCAGCTAAATTTCAATGATATATTGAAATGTAATCATTCGTTCTGATACGAGCGAGTGGGCCTTTTGCTTTTGTCTCTAAACAGGAGTGTGAATCACAAAATGAGGTTTGTATTGATTATACTGTGCAGTTTGTTCTGATGTTTGGGTGTCTCAAAATGTGCTCAGAAATGTGTGCATAATGCATTGGATGATGATACTGTGATCTAATAGGTCTAACATGCAACACAAAAATGTCCTTTTCTCTTTGCTGGGAATCTCTTTCTGAATTTGTGCTGAGCTGGCGATATTATGGCGTCTGAAGCTCAGACTATAAAGTCGTCCCAGATCTTACACAGTTTCTCCCTTTTCTCTTCCACTCCATGTCCCTTTGTGCTCATTCCTTTACAACAAAATGACATTAGCTCCAGCTCAAATCACATGGCCAGATAAACTGAGTCCTCTGCCTTGCAGTTACTAACTCAGAGCTACAGACTCTCACACACACATATGCTCACATTAAACCTAAAGGTAAATTTATTCATTTGATTCCCACCGGGGCTTGAAAGAAATGATGTATGTGTTACAGATACAAAGGATTTCAAAAGACATTTTGTTGAAGCAGTTCTTTGTCCAGTGTCTGTAAGTAAGACCTGAATGGTGAAACGATAAAAGAGCCTGTTTCCTCTCGTCTTGCCAGTGTCTATTCGGAGGAGTTAGCTGAGGAATATTCATTTGTCACGCCACACTGGGCTATGCAGCCTTGGATTAGCATTGCTACAAATGCAGTTAACATTCCAGGTCCTGGTCTGGAGAGTTCATCAGGCCTGAGAGGGAGATTGGATGTCTGGGGTTCATTAAGTTTGATTACACATTCATGAGTATTTGGTTTCAGATTTTGTGGGACAGAATTAGGATAAACAAGGAGGTGAAGCAGTTGTTGTTTGGAATTTGTAAAAAGCTTTGCTGTGTCTGTCAAATCTGATTATATTTAGTGAGTGTGGTGCTAGCTCTTATTTAGGGATAGGAAATTACCTATTTTTACTGTGACCAAAAATGACTGCAAAAAAACTCCAGATGGAACTAATGTGCTACCTCAACTGACATTTAGACGAAAATGAATCTTTTTGCAATCTCCAGGACTCCCAGGAGTTTCTGCGCTGCTTGATGGATCAACTTCACGAGGAGCTGAAGGAGCCTCTGCCCGAACCCTACGACCAGTCCAGCGGTATCACAGTGGACGACAGCCACATGGAGGACAACCACAGCCAGTCAGACAATGACTTCCAGTCATGTGAGTCGGGCAGTAGCATTGACCGGGCCGATAACGAGGTGCAGAGTGGGAACATGCTCGCGGACAACACCAACGAGGCCGGGATGCTGATTCCTGAGCAAGATGAGATACAGGCAAACAGGGAGTGGCAGAAGGAGAAGAACATGATTAATGATCTTTATCGCTCAGGAGTTCATGGTGTTATGGGTGGAAGCTGTGGAGCAGACATAGACAAAGATGTCGACACCACCACTGAGACCACACCCATTATCAGCAGCCAGGGAGCCATCAAGGTTCAGAACCGAACATCAGGTACTTACAAAGAAGAGTCATGTTGTCTCACATTCCCTAACATATTTATTTTTTCTGTGGTTTGATTGTGTATCTGCCTTTTTTATTCAGCGTCAAACTTATGGTTTTGAAAGTATACTGTTTGGCCTGCTTTCCTCTAGATTCCTTCCCAGGAATCCAAATACCCAACACCACAAGGTCGCAGAGTCCAGTTCTCATGGAGGGACACATTCCTAAAATGTCCAGCAGCCCACCCAAAGCTACCTCTGGCTGGCCCAGCCTAAACCCTGCACACAAGAAAGGTACTTCTGTGTAATCACATAAAGTCATATCTAGATTGAACCCTTAGAAAGTCAGGGTTTTTAATAGGGCAGGTGTATCCTTTATCTGCCTTTGCTGACATCCTGTAAAGCACTAGTCCCATATTCTTCTGCTTTTCCACAGCAGTGACCACATTCTCTCCACCAAAGAACAAACGGCAGAAGAAATACCGCAGTGTCATCTCAGATGTGTTTGATGGGACCATTGTCAGTTCTGTTCAGTGCCTCACCTGTGATCGGGTTAGTTCTTCATAAAGATAATAGGGCTGCTGTAGTAGGGAGAGGGGACATCCAGCCATCCCAAAAGTCCGAAAAAATGGACAGTAAGCTTTGTTGGTTGATCCCGATTTTCTTATACACTGTTGATTAATTTGTTGACAGTTTCATATCACATACTATGATAATTGTATAATGACAATAATATTCCATTACAAAGTGACATATCCTTATACCATGAGGAGATCTTATAGAAATGCGGCAATTTGTCCATAGCTCTCCTAAGATGAATCTGTACTATGTGTGTGTGTGTGTGTTTGGTGTCTTATCAGGTGTCTGTGACCCTGGAGAACTTCCAGGATATCTCATTGCCCATCCCGGGGAAAGAGGATCTGGCCAAGCTCCACTCCTCCACCCACCAGACCTCCCTGGTAAAGGCAGGATCCTGTGGGGAGGTTTATGCACCACAGGGTTGGATTGCCTTTGTCATGGAATACATCAAGAGGTGTGTGTGTATCATATGAACATTATATTTATTTACACTTTACATCATGCATTAGAAGCTGTTTACTTCTTTTTTTTATGTGCTGTGTCTGTTTCTGTATTCAGCTGGTTCTGGGGTCCTGTGGTTACTTTACAAGATTGCCTTGCAGCTTTCTTTGCCAGAGATGAACTAAAGGGTAAGGAAGTCGATGTGAATGTGTTCTACTAACACAAACACTAAGATTGATGTCTCAGTAACAGGGTTTGTTATTTTCTAGGAGACAACATGTACAGCTGTGAAAAATGCAAGAAGTAAGTGTCTCATTTTTGTTCCTTTGATGAATAATAGGCAAAACATTTCACATGAATTAAAAACAGAAGACAAATAGAAACGTAATGACTGCTTGTCTTTTTTCCTCTTAGATTACGCAACGGAGTCAAATTTTGCAAAATGCAAAGTTTGCCAGAGGTATACAGACAACTCTAGTACCTAATATCATGAAGAAATCAAATTCTTTTTCCCTGTGTCTTCACACACATGGTGTCTAAAATAAAATCCCTGTGTATTCCTTTGCTGCAGATCCTGTGTGTCCACTTGAAGCGCTTCAGACATGAACTAATGTTCTCTACCAAGATAAGCACACACGTCTCCTTTCCGCTCAAGGGCCTGGACCTGCAGCCTTTTCTGGCCAAAGACAGCTCCGCCCAGACCACCAACTACGACCTGCTGTCAGTCATCTGTCACCACGGCACTGCCAGCAGTGAGTGGGCACAGCCTCTCCCCTTCTGGGTGCATCTGTCATCAGTTGGCACATAGGAGCACCCTGCATTTATTAGCTTGTGGGAAAATTTCACATGTACTTGTTAGGTTCATGAATTCTGCTTTAACTCATTCCCACATTTGATCCCAGGTGGCCACTACATAGCCTACTGCAGGAACGATGTGAACAATCTGTGGTATGAATTTGATGACCAAAGTGTGACAGAGGTGTCTGAATCCTGTGTCCAGAATGCAGAAGCTTACGTGCTGTTCTATAAGTAAGCCATCACACCAGGGATCAATACTTAACCATGAATACAATAAGAATGTGTTTATCCCTGTGACATTTTAAGATTCACTGTGCTGCTTTAATATTCATAACTTAGATTTTATTTTGGTTACTCGGTAGCAGTAGTGTTTAATCTGTTGTCTGTTGCTGTCACAGAAAGAGCAATGAGGACGCAGTGAAAGAACGGAGGAGAGTGACAGGGTTATTCAACATAATGGAGCCCAGCCTTCTGCAGTTCTATATCTCTCGCCAGTGGCATAACAAGTTCAAGACTTTTGCCGAGCCGGGGCCTATTTCCAATGATGACTTCCTGTGTTCACATGGGGGTATGTATGACCACATCGTTTTCTCACTGAAACCACATAGAGGTCAATTTGTCTCCGAGCACGGATCCTATTTCTTGACCTGTATCCAACCGTCAGTGGAAGAAATGTGCTGTGCCCTCTCTAAAGGCAGCTTTCACTTTCATCTTGGCCAGGGGTTTTTGGTTCTGACAAAGACTGCAGAGTATTCCCTTCACAACATAGCAGACTTCAAAAGGGGGTTTTGCTTTTCTTGGTGCAGATGATACCTTCTTTCCCCTTTTAGCAGCAAAGAGGGGAGGATTCTAAACGGGTTTTTGCCAGACAAGCTCTTTTCTATTTCCACCCTCTACTCAGGGGATGCTGAAAATTATGAAATTGAAAATTATGTAAACGCATGATAAATCTGTTAGGCTTTAGTGTCAGCAGAGAATGTGTTTAATGGGTAAATAATCGCCTGTATGATGGTTTGTAGTAACTACCACATAGTACAAGGCTACTGAAGTACATAAGCAGAGATAATACAAGTGTAGTGAAACCATAATTGTTTTGCAGCAGTGCGGTCAGTTTTATTTACCTTGCAAATTAAAAAGTACCACCGCTTTTTTTCCACTTTGCTGTTCATAGCCAGGGGTGTGTTGGTTGATAGAGGGTAAACACATTTAAACATCACTTTGCTGCTTTGAAGTGTCTGCTGGGCCCTACTGCCAGACACTTTGTTTCTTATGAATTCAAGATCTCACATATTTAGCAGAATACTGTAAATATACATAAAGAACAACCTTAATATTTTAAGTGGAATATTGTAAATGTTAGGTCTGGGGAAAGAATACCACCACCCATATCTTTCTCACTTGGTAATTTTAGTTCAAGGAGACAATTTGACCTTTGAACTGCAAATTTTAGGAATTAAAGTCCTAAATTGTTTAGGTTTTTAATTAGAGAGCTTGATCCCTTACAAGGGCATTTTAGTGGTTTTAGAATAAACAGTGTGATCAAGATTGAAGCTGCAGATGCCAAAAATATCCACACGTTTAGTGCTTAGTATCTGTTAAGCTCCAATAAAAACACTGGATCCTCCACTTTCGATAATGGTACCTGATAGTGCCTTTCATTAGATCCTTCCTGCCTGCTAAATGTCAACCCCTTTCAAACCCACACTTCCAGTTTGTACTGCAGGCCCTCTTTTAAATATTCAGGTCCAAGTTGAGATAAGTCTGACATCATCAGGCTTATTTTCTCCGATTGTGAAAGCTTCCTCCAAAGCCATTAAAGGCAGTACACTGAGATATTGAGATAAGAGTGACTGTTCCTTCTAAGATTATGCCATTTGAGAGATTTTTAGAGGCCATCTCTACACACAGCCATTACCTTTTAAATGTCACTGTTCGTGTTTGATGGATGTTTCGCTGTTTCATCAGGTGTGCCACCTAACAAAGCAACACTCATTGATGACCTGGTGATAATGCTGCCCCAGAACGTGTGGGATCACCTTTACAGCAGGTACATCCAGTAAATACAGTAACTTAGGGGTTGACTGGAGGCTTTAAATATGTTCACTTCTCTGAGAGTTCATTTTCAAAATGTATAGTTCCAAATATAGTTGATTTGAACTGCTCCCTGCAGGTACGGAGGGGGACCAGCTGTCAACCACCTGTATGTTTGCCACACGTGCCAGACTGAGATAGAAAAACTGGAGAAACGGTGCAAATCAGAGCTCGACATGTTTGTCCGGGTAAGCGTTTTAACCAGATGTTGACCAGCAAAACCATGAGCAGTGAGAAGACAGAGCTTCAGCTAGGTAGAGTGAACATTGATATGTATGTTATGCATCAGTGAGTCTGTGTGCAGCCAGGGCTCATAGGTGTGTATAGACCTATTCTCTAGTCCAGGGGTGTCAAACTCAATCGCACAGGGGGCCAAAACTCAAAGCACACTTTAGGTCGCGGGCCGAACAGGATAAGAATTTATTGAAGACTAAAACCCAAATGTTTTTTGAACATAAATATGAATCGAAACAGACGGGATACAATATTACTCCAAAATAAATAAACTTGAACTTAAAATCAGCAGCCGTATTTCTGCTAAGGCTTACATTTGCAAACACCTGCTTTTTGTCTGGACACAAGACGTCGCACGCTTTCATCATGCCGCAATAAAAATTGCTTTCACAGCAGCTTCACTGTGTGATTTCACTTTGGTGAAAACGTCTGCTGTGATGTCAGATTCCTCTTCAACTCCTTGACCTTCTGTAGCTTCTGCTCTGCATTGACGTTTTTCAGCTTGTCCTCATGTTTTGTCTCGTAGTGCCGTTTTAGGTTATATTCCTTAATTACAGCCACATTAGCTCCACAAATAAGACACACAGGTTTACCAGCAATGTCAGTAAACATATACTCAGCCTCCCACTAGTTTTGAAAGGCTCTGTTTTCAGAATTAACTTTTCTCTTGGCCATTGTTAGGGGCTAGCTTTGACTTGAAATTAGGGTTGTATACATCAACAGACGCTTGATTGATCTGACGTAATTGACGCGGGAATGATCGCAGGTAGCCTATCGTTGGGTAAGGCAGCTGTTGCGCTGCATTATGGGATTTGTAGTTTGTGTGTTACCGCCACTTCATATCGCCGGGCTATAAAAAAAAAAAAAGATGTATAAAATGATCTCGCGGGCCGGATGTAATTGTACGCCGGGCCGGATGTGGCCCACGGGCCTTGAGTTTGACACGTGTTCTAGTCTATAACCAGTTGATAGGATGCATGTGTTGGGGCTCTTCACCTGGCAGGAGATGAGAGGTGTGAGCCTGATGAAAGCCTTATCATTAATGCATTGGGACAGATGCAGCTGTTATTGCCTACTCAGTCTGCCCACTCACACAATGGCTGCTCAGAAGGAGAAATAATGTTGTGTGTGTGTGTGTGTGTGTGTGTGTGTGTGAGTGAAAGAAAGAGCTTCAGTAAGCTAAGCAGAAGAACAGGGATTGTGTCCTTTCTAAGAAAGATGACATTGGTGCAGTGTGGTGTTCAGACAGTCTTCTAATTGGAATAATTACCACAGAGAATTGATGAGGTTTCTTCATCATCTCTCCTCTCAATCCTTTCATCCCCACTTATTTGTCTCCCCTATCTCTCCTGTTTCTCCTCCTCGTCCCTTTATACCCTTTCTCCTCCCCCTTGTCTCTACTGCTCACTCCTCCCCCATTTCCTCTCCCTCTCTTCCCTCTGTAGCTTAACAAGGCGTTCCAGGAGGAGGAGTCTCCAGTGGCCATATACTGCATCAGCATGCAGTGGTTTCGTGAGTGGGAGGGTTTTGTCAAAGGAAAAGACAATGGTAATTGAACGGAAGTCTTGTCTTTTCACCCCCAACCCTGTTTAAATGTCTGAATGTTTCCCACTTGACAGTCACAAATCTGATGCCTGGTTATTGTTTTATTCTATAAAAGCTACTGTGACAAGGTTTGATGTAAATTTCTCCAAACAAATGACATATATCAGGCCTATATTTTTTCCAGATAGGGGAATATGGCAGATAAACTGTTTTCTATGGGACATCCTGTTTTTACCAAAAGCCATACATGTTGAATAGAAACTCCAATTTCTCCTCTTGATTTAGCTTCAAAGAGTTTGCTTTGGTCTCCCAAGTCAAATTTCCCTCCTGCTACAGCAAAGCGAAGCATCAAAATGTATTTCATCTTTGTTCCACTTGTTCTCATTTGTTCTTCCCTTGCTTTGTGTTGTCATTTCTATTTATGACAGCTTACATGTGTCACGTCTGCAAGCGGCCTTTTTTCTCTGACTTCTGCTCCTCTAATATTTGTTTTCTTTGTGTAGCAAGCATTGCAGAAATTCCTTTTCATAGTGTGACAAAAACACTTGACATTTTAGCATCACTCCTGTTTGAAACAATCATTGAAAATACAGTATATTTGTGGAAAAAACAGGAATGCATTTTAATGCTATATATGACAACAAATTCTTTCTTCTTTGTTAAGATCCACCCGGACCCATTGATAATTCCAAGATTGCAACAAACAAGAACGGCCATTTAACACTTAAACAAGGTACTAACCTTTGTTTCTTTTATTTTATGCTGTAGAAACATAGTATTTTTAATGTAGCGCGAAGCCTCTGTGGATTGTAGTATTACCTTATGCTGTGTAGTCATTTGTAATATTCCAGTGTGTGTGTGTGCGCTTGCACTGACCTCGCAGGAGCCGACTCAGGGCAGATCTCTGAAGAGACATGGAACTTCCTCCACTCCATTTATGGCGGCGGCCCACTGGTGACAGTTCGGCCAAGCATCAGCCACCAGGAAGCAGAATCGTCCCACTCAGAGGAAAAGATTGAGGTGGAGACGCGCTCTGTTTAATCAAGCAGTCAACAGCAAACGATAGAAAACATTTAAGAAATGAAAAACCTTTTATTTTGCACTTGACTTTTATTTCAAAAGCATTGAAGCAAAGGACCTCATCTGTACTGCTCCATGACAGCCTTTGAGATCTGGAATTAACATGTTTGAGAAGGTTTGTCATGTTGTACAAATCTGTATAAAGAGCATTTAAATTTCTATTAGCACTGTAGTATTCATGTCAGGTTGTTTTAAGAGCCAAGCATTTAAAGTATGTGCAGCTAAAAATTCCACTGAATGCCATTTTCTTCTTGACCAAATGAGCACACATTGTTTGTCCATGTGTTTTGTGTTTCTGATACTGATGAATCAAAATTCATCTTGCTGTAGATATATCACATATTTTTCCTCTTGTAAGAGAATATTGTCCGATGAATGGTTAAGAGAGCAAAATGTGACACTTAAAGTGATAGAAATCACCTGGTAATGAAGGGACTAATTACTGAGTATCCTCAGGAATTAATTTTGTGTCTGTGTTTCTGTAGACATACAAATTGGCATGCTCACACAAATGTCTGGTTTGTATTTGAATGTACAAGTATTGATGGTATGTTGGTCAAGATTCAGCACTTGGTTATTTATCACAGAAGGGAGAGATTTAACATGATGTCAGAAGATTTTTGTAGAAATTACACACAAGCATAGTCTGTTAAAAATGCATGCTTTAACACTCAGGCCCAGTTTAACATCTCTTGTAACTGCATGTTAATGCAAAGTTGCTCATAAAATGTGCACGCAAATAACACTCTGGATTTGGCTCTATTGTCACTAAATAGTACAGCTACGGAAAGCATATTATACAATCAGCAGCAGCAGTCTAATTAGAGGCATTATTTTTGTGTATGGGGATAATGTTGCTTAGTGTGTTGGCTGATAGAGGGTAAACAATGCTGTACTGTATGTTCTTGCATATGGATGTCACATGAGTAAGACCTGATTTTTGCTGGCTGACACTATTAAAACTTGATAAAACATGTTGAACATTGTGGTCTCCTTGATTTTGTCTCGCTTCGCTGATTTCTGTTAGGTGGTTATTAGTCGCAAACAATGGGTAGATTTTTAGCTAGAAAAGTCAACTATACTGTGTATTGTTCGTCATAAAAGTGTCAGTAAACCATCATTAATTAGCCGAGCTGACCAGGACAGTGGCCGTTTGCACTCTTGCCATTTGCAAAAATGTACAGTATAGTGTTGCATTTTGGCGAGCGCCGTTGAATCGGCTCACACACCCGACTAGTTGACTGGAGTGAAAACATGGCTGCGGCCGAATGTGCAGCAAATTTACGGAAGTGAGGTATGTGTAATTCTTGAGCTATAAAAGCTATTTAGAAGTGGACCTCCAATTCGATAATTTTAGTACAGCAAATGACAAAACTTCAGCTTATTATCCCACCAAAAATGTCTATGACCGGCATTGTTGGCAGTACACAAATACATCGGCAAAGTTATGCGCCGAACAATCAGCTAGCTTGGCTAGCTAATATTGGGCTGCTGTTGTTAGCCTTAGCTGCTAACTGGTTACCCGTTGCCGTTTTGTTGGCTGATTGCTAACCATGCTACTTCTGTTTGTACGCCGCAGTTGAAATGTAAACCTCGGCGAAACACAATGTTGGTAACGATCCCCCCCTTCTATATAATGTATTGCTGGTGGGCTTGACGTCTGTATCAGTTGTCGAGCTAGCTAACATGTATCCGATTTTAGTAACGTTACCAGGGGGGCTGCATCTGAAATCGCTACGATTTCTTTTCTGCACGATGTGGGTAACGGGAAAACTAGCTGAGATGAAATAGCGGAGGTAACGTTAGCGAACTTGGCTAACTAGTCATTAACAGGAGCAAAAGAAAATTGGCATGGTGAGACAGAAGTGTACTTGTACGTTGGGTTCCATAGGAACCGTGTAAGATAACATTTGATATTCACAGGTGCAACAGTCTGCAATTTGGTGCGACAAGTGTTAATATTTTACATTTGAGAGCTAACGGTAAGTTAGTTTGCTAATGTTAGCCCGCTAGCAGCAAGCTAGGTCAAGTAACGCTTGCTTGTAAGTTGATCCAGGCTAACGTTTAGCTTGTTCGCCAGCTTTATGATCAAACTGGTTGTTTAGCCTAAACGTATGCCTGGAGTTAAACGGCAAACTTCAGCGCTGATCTGCTGTAAACTAATGTTATCTTAACCGGCTGCACGTGCAGCCGCACTGCTGTTTAGTTTAGCTAGTCACAGCATCCTCGTGCCTCCAACTTTATCGGTACTGAGCTTGCGGCAGCTGATTAGCTGGGATGTTGGGATTTGAGCGATTCTCATCGGCATGTATACCAACACCACTTCGTGGATTTTTTTTTGTTGTTGCTAGGGGGCCCCGTGGAAGTATTGAACTACAGGTCAGCACGAATTAACAGACAAACAGGATGGTAAAAATAGTACAAAGCTTGTTTGTTTATGATAAAAACAGATTTCTCACCCTAAACTGAGTTAGCCTAGCTGGTTTGCCAATAATAGCCCTAACATTTGCTTGGGAGGAGTATGTTTACTTGCGTGTATCTCGAGTTTACAGCCTTAATTTAAATGAAATCAATGTTTTCTTTTTGGAGGCAAATGACTCATGTGAGTCCTGGCCTGACACGACTATAGTAATGTCGTAAAACCACGTGTTTTACATAACTTGACAACCAAACGCGCTCCAGAGAACAACAGGAAGTGATTAGTTTGAGATTACTGTCACACATACAGACATTGATGAGAAAACCTGAATAAATGAGTGTGGAGGAAAAACATACTGAAAGCAGATGCTGGCATGGTTTAGGTCCACTTGTTTCATTACAGTGAATGGTCTGTAAATCATTACAGAGTTGTTCTGAGTGATCACCTTATGTTTAAATTATCTGCTCTGATGGGAATGGTCTCTTCCAGGATGACAGTGCCCCCATCCATAGGGCACAAGGGGGTCATTGAATATTTTGATGAGTATAAAAATTATATGACTCATATGCCATGGTCTTTGCAGTCACCAGATCTCAACCCAGTTGAACAGCTATGGGAAATTTTGGACTGACCTGTCAGTCTCCACCGCCATCATCAAAACACCATAAGGGAATAGCTTTTGTAAGAATGGTGTTCGTCCCTCCAGTAGAGTTCAGAGATGTGTAGAAATAATGCCAAGGCACTTTGAAGCTGTTTTAGTGGCCCAATACCTTACCAAGACCGTTTTCTTTTAATTTGTCACTCATCTGTAGATCCTGTCTATGTATCTGCAATGACTAATAACATATTTTGTCTGTGACAGTTTAAAGATGTATGGTTAAACTGCAGCTTGTGAGCAAAAGTTTATATTTTCCAACCTTGTCAGGATCAGTGGCTATACATGGCAGTATACTGTGTTAAGATTGTAATAAACTTGCCCAAACTATTGCAAAATGGTAAATCAGCATCTGTGGGGTTTACTGGGACCTCTACAATGCCTAAATCGTTTGAGTTCACTACACACTCCACATCGATTCAGACCTTTGTCATCTAAGGAATTTGTTTGAAGGCTTGTTTCAGATGAGCCAGATATCTGCAGAATTGGTCACCAGTGAGATTTTAATGCTGACTTGCTCTAATATAAAGCACACTGCCCCCTCCTGTCACCACCTGCTCTCTTTCGATTTCCAGGCAATGCGTAGTTTATCTCTTAACACACGCCCAGTGAATGACCCTCCACAAACCTTCTTGCGTACCAATTTGGTAACAGTGTGGACTAGAAAAAGCAAGATATACCACACATTGAGTCATTACACCTCTGTCAGAGCTGTAATTAATTTGAGCCCCTGTTCAATGTCCTCTTGTTCTCTATGGCCACCTATACCAAGTAGTAATGCAGTCGAATTCACGATATACTTCTCTTTTATAATTTTTTTCTATCAGGTAACTGAATGAAAGTGAATTAGTGATTTAATTGCAGCCCATAAACAACATGATAACAGCAGTCTATCTGAAGCTGCTGTGCTGCAGCGATGGGATCCAATTTTGTAATCGAGCTGTTACCTGCACAAAATCAACAGAAAAGCTTAGTTTTGGAGGAAAATGCTGGAAGTAAACCTGAAACAAGAGTAATGGATGCTTTTACACACTTTACTGACTGTGTGGACATACTAGGGTAGCCACACATCACAGCTTGCTTTTATGATATTTCATGGGTAATAAACTTAGTCTGATGTTTCCAGCAGGCATATGAATGGTGCATTACATTTATATTTATTAATTGAGGCCTGGCTAGCTGTGCAACAAAATTAATTATTGGGACAAGGAAGTGTAAGCAAATATTTAATGTAGTTAGTGAGCTCAGCTGTAACCCTGATAATTTGGAAGTAGTGATTAGTTTTGTTGTTTTTGAGATCATGTCTGATGAGCCAGCTTAATTCATTTTGTCATATTGAGTCTAAGAGTGAGTGCTGAGTAACCATCCCTCTGCTACCCCTATTGTGTTTGTCTCTCTTTCTGTCTCTGTTTTAATACATGGACAAATCGCATTAGCTTTCTCAGCTGAAGTCTTTAGCGGAGTGTGAGTAATATGTGCTTGTGATAGTGCTTCTTCCAGTTGACTATTCTGTTAAGCTCCCTGAAGGAATATTTATCAAAATGTATTTGTAGCTAGAGTAGCTTCTGGCTTTGATGTTGCTGTGTTAGCACAGTGTAGGAGAAGGGAGGGCTTGTCCCAGGAAAGGCAACAAGGAGCTTTTAAATCAGTTTTGACAGAGGTCGTCCCACAGAATTCCTTGTTAATTGATGCAGTAATTTCTCTCTTCCACAATGAGAGACTGTGACTATGTCCCATGTTCCGCAAACAACACCCACTGAGATCATCTCCTGAATGTCACTTTGATATCACCTTCAACACATCCTGTATCTATTATTATCTGTTGTTAGATTTACTAGTTGGAACCATGATCTAGTGACAAGTTTCTTGTGTGTGCTGATTGGAAATGTTCTTGGGAATTAGGCAACATATGCATGTGTTCTCGCCAAGGACAGGAATTATTTTTGTATACACCCACTGTAAATAAAAAAAAATCATTAACTGTTTGTTTACATGTTCACAGAATAGTGATTACTAATTACTGTACACTGATGTTAAGATTAATAAATGATTAGGGAATTAACAAGGTTAACAGTTGCAGATGGCCACAAAAATTTAGTTTTAAATGTTCTTCATGCTGAGTTTCAAACTTCAATGTAAGCTCTGGTGCTTGGATTATTATTTGTAATATGAAATCTACTTTGCTATTGTGTGTTTAGTTTTCCATGGTGGTGTTTTATATAATATATATATACTGTTTGTTTTTTAACACAATGACATGTGGTCCACTCCATCACTTATGCTGTGTGCAGAATCGAAATACTGAGAGAAACCAGAATAGGATGGCTGCATATGTACTGGTACATATACAGTATATATGCTGGGGAGTAACCCGCCTCTATTAATCAAGTTATGTTGTCTTAATTACGTCCTTAATATGAGTAAGAACCTGATAAAGGTGTTTACATGATATATTGAGTTTATCACTGATGCCATATTGTAGACTACATCTAAAATATTAGTGCATGGTGCCATTACCTGTGAAATTGATTACTCAGAATAAGAAATGCATGATTGACTAGTGTTAGTAGCTTTTGGATGCTATCATTTTTCACAGGGTTTTCTTCTTATGCACATTGTACTTCATCTGTAGGATACCTCAGCAACACACAGAGATTTTTGGGAGGCTTTGTTGTTCCTTAAACTGTGTCAGAAAGTTAATAGTTATGTCCTAAGCCTCCACACTTTAAGCCTGTAAGCCTTGTGTAGGATTCTTGTCAGAGCTTTTCAATTTTTGTATGTTCTGATAAGTTGTGGAAGGATTGCAGCCTGTTGGTTCTGGCCCACCTGTTAGAAGGAGATAAACAGCCTGCTGTGTGTGATGACAAATGTACATCTGCAGTGTTATCTCTGCTGAATTGGATGTGAGAATTACAGTGTAGCTTCTGTGTCAGAAATCATTCAACCAGTAAGCCATATTTATTCTCAGTGTGACAGAAAAAGCAGTAATGTCTGCAGGGAGGAAATAAATATACTCTCACTGAAACATGCACACATTTTGTATGATCACTTGCATGTATAGTCAGTTTTTTTTCTTTTATATAAAAATGCTCACTGCGCTGTAGTCACCCTTATCTCGAGTTATCACGTACACACAGAGGAGCCTCAAAGCTGTGCCATTTGTGAAATGTTGAAAGAGACTGTATGATTGGTCATTTAGGCTAAATGGGAGATCTGACCTTATTGTTTCCTGCTTTGATCTCCCACCTTGTAAATTTATGTCCTTTCTACAGACCTGGGATAAGACATTTCGTTTTGCCTGTGACAGAAGGTGTTGCTTAGCTACAGTGACAAGAGAAATCAATACCCCTGTGGTGTGAGCTGAGAAATGACCCGAGTAGTATTTAAAAAAGACCTTTTGGTGGCTTGCTTTTGTTTGAACCACTCCAGGGTAGTGTTGATGCATTCTTCTTTTTTTTTAGCTTTGCTGGAAAGTGAAATCAAGCAAACCTATAACCACTGCAATATTAGTGTTGGGGTGTAACCATTGGTCTGTGAAGATTTGCAGTGTTAAGTCATCACAGCACCTTAATAAAGAGCATGTATCTGTTTGTGTTGCAGGTGCCCATGTTCTGCTGCAGAGGAGAGAGCACCAGGATGAGGAGACTGTAGGCACCCGCCGTAGTATGGCCGCGTCTCGTTCCTCGCGTGTCACAAGGTCATCAGTGGGGCTCAATGGATTGGATGAAAACTTTTGTGGCCGAACCCTCAGGAACCGCAGCATCGCCCAGCCGGAGGAGACTTCAGTGTCTCTGCTACCTAGGGCTCGCTCGCCCAAGAAGAAGCAGGAAACGAAGCAGGACGCCAAGCAGGAGTCGAAGCAGGAGTCGAAGCAGGAGTCGAAGCAGGAGTCGAAGCAGGAGTCGAAGCAGGACGCCAAGCAGGACGCCAAGCAGGACTCGAAGCCAGACTCGAAGCAGGACGCCAAGCAGGACGCGAAACAGGAGTCAAAGCAGGAGGTCAAGCAAGAGTCAAAGCAAGATGTTAAGCGGGAGTCAAAGCACGATGCTCAACATGATACAATACAGCATGCGATGCAGGGCACTCAACAGGATGATCAGCGACAGAGTTTGTTGCAGGGAAAGGTAACTGACTCAAATGTTTTTCCAGCTGAGCCGGAGCAATGGACCAGCTCCAGGAAGCGGGGCGTGTCCTGTTTAGAAAAAGACATCAGCCCCGAGAAGTCTGAGAACTGTGATAGAGGGAAAGGGGCGCGGGATGCCTCTCCTCAAGTCAAAAGGACCAAGCGGTGCTCCCGCTCTGGAGAGTCTCAGGGACATGAGGAGGACCTTGAGCCTTTTAAACCTAGAAGTCCAGTCTCTGTCCCAGAGCCTAGCGGGGACAACAGTTGTGAAGAATTTCCCAACCAGAACTCTGCTAACATAGCTCCTGCCTCACCTGTCATCAGTAAAGAGGAAGGTGAGCCGAGGGGGGTGAAGGCAGAGGATGGTCATATGGCGTGTGATGGGGCATCTCAGCCCTCAAATGCTCACTTGACCTCTAATGGACTCAGAAAGAATAAGGCAGAGGAACCTAGCACCCTCAGTGAAGAGCTTAGTGTAAATCCCACCTCTGCCACCAACTGCCCGTCGCTGCTAAACGGTAGCCAGACAGGGGATCCCTCATCCCCTGACCCTCCTGTGCCTTGTAGAAACTCTGTCACTGGGCAGATGGAGGGCTCTGGCTCAGGGGAATCACCTGCCTCATCTGCACCAGCACCAGCACTTGAGGCTGCTCCAGAGGATCCTGTCCCTGAGTTGATAGTTGCCAAGGAGCAGGGGGTGGAGGAGATGGAGGTTGATGTGGTGGGGGGCCCCTTGTGTCTGGCCCATGAAGAACAGGTGACCGAGAGCGAAAGTGATACCAACGGCCATCCGCTAACACCAGTGCAGGAAGCCGTTGCCTCCACCTCCTCCACCACACCCAGTAGTCTAATCAACAGCAGTAACTCAGGAGAAACTACACCCCCACTAGTAACAACCCCATCCCCCACAGAGCCAGGGTGCAATCCCTCAATATCCAGCACGCCCCCCTCTTTCACAGAGCTCTACGAACACAGATACACCCTACGGACTTCACCCAGGAGGGCTCCGACTGGTAGCAAAGCCTCCTCCTCCAAACCCAGCTCTCCTCCTAGAGACAATGGTCCCTTAAGGGAAGAGGGGGAGGTGATGGTTGGGCTGGAGGAAGACTGCCCCATGGTGGAAGAACCTGCCCCCTCAGACTCTGTTGGCCCCTCCAATGAGGATCCGGTTTTTGTGGATCCTGGAGACAGTGCAGGTGGTGAGGTCAGTGGGCTGGTGGATGGCAAAGAGGCTGAGAGCAGAGAGGCGCTTGCACAGTGCCAGGCTGCTGAGGAGGAGGAGGAGGAAGATGAAGAGGAGGAGCCAGACGTGTATTACTTTGAGTCCGACCACCTGGCTCTTAAACACAACAAAGAGTATGTGTGAGCTCCCCAGGGATTCTCCTGTTTCCTCATCTTTTGTTGATGCAGCACTCACATGTTGATTACTAAATCCTGTGATTATTGCTGATTCTAGTCTGAGTTTGAAGAGTATCTGATATGGAATGTTCAGTGTTCTAAAACCTTAAATATTTTTCAGTTTAGTCATAGTCCAGTGTTTACGCCATATTATTGTGTTCAAAACATCCATGTACATCAATGTTTGTCAACCTTTTTTGTCTTGTAACCCCTTGAAATTAATCAGGATATGTCAGTGAGTTTTCTCCTCTAAACCTAAAATCGTTGAATTGGTAAAATGAAGAAATAAGCAAAGATTAGAGAAAAGTCAGGAAACGAAGAATCAATTTGAGCAGCAGACCATTATTTTGTTAATTATATTACAACCCCTCAGATTTATCTTCCAAATGGCATGATTGTTTATAGCTGATGAAGAGATCCTGGAAATCACTTAGAGGGCTGCTGTTTATTTCATAATAAGTCGTGATGCTGGCTTCATGTAGGTTTTTTTAGTGTGTGGCCAGTCAGTGCACACTTCCAGACACAAACATAAAGGAGCACTGAATTAGGATACAAGTGTATCTGGGTTTTTGCACCACCAACACATATACAGAGTGTTTAATTATTTCAGTTATTTCCGAGTCTTTTCTCATTCCTTATGTGAATATTTGTGTGCATCTAACTATAGCTCCTGTCTTATTTAGGTTTTACATGTTTCAGCATTTAATTTCCACCTTCAATCTGGTGTTGCGACTGTGTGAGTTAGCTGCCAGTTGTCAGATTTCCAATGTCGGTGGAGAATGGATGTTAAAATTACTGTTCTGATTGCTTCTGTTGTGTCTTTTCTCAGTATCGTGAGTTGTTTGAGAAGAGCAGGAATTCTCGGTGTAGGGCTTTGATCGTTTGTTTAGATGTCAGTTGTCATGCATGATGGGTTGTTAATGCTGGTGGACAGATCTCATGCTGTGTTCAGTCAGGCTCTAACTGCTCTGTGGCAGGTCAGCTTCATGATGCAACTTCGGAGGGCTTTTGGGGGTGGAGACATCAGCTGAATTCCTTTCGTCTCTGACATCAGAATTGTCTAGTGTTTCCAATTTGGATATTGTCTTTAGAATAATTTTTCACTGCTCTCGTATTGCAGTGTATTTCGATCACATTTTCTGTGACTTGCCAAGGTTTGGTTGTGCTGAGTAAGGAGATTTTTGAAGGCTCAGATCAATGCAGTGAAGAGTCATTTTAGGGAAGCTTGACTAGGCATTTTGGGGTTGCTGACACTGACATGATGTCTGTACAAAATATCTTTATTTGCATCATCAGTTTTGTGGATTTGACAAAGTAACCTCTGCCTCTATGTCATTTTCTTCAATCCTTCATTATTAGCAAAACAAAACTACTGTCCTGTCTGCTTTTTCATTTGGCACCAGTGTTTGTAAGTGGACCTGGGGCCCAGTAGGTGGGAATGGAACACCAGACTTGACACCTGGAGGGAGTCCAGTGTGCTGAGAATAAAATCCAAAACCAGCTCATTTCTTTGAAACAAATAAATGCACAGGTCATCTGTCCATCTGAGGAAGTGGGAATG